TCCTCTGCCCGCAGCTGCAGAGAGCCAAGTCCCCCATCAGCCTGAAGCGCGCGTCCGACTTTCCAGGTTAGTGCGGCGCGGCCTCCACTCTGTCCCCCGCTGCTCTGAGTCCCTGTCACGCCCTCTGGCGCTCGCTCCTGCGGGGACACCTGGGACTGGCCTCGGGACCGGGGCGGGGTGTCCACCTGGTAATTAATGGTCACTGTGCCGGGAGGGCAGGAGCAGCTGCGTCGTGTCCACGGCCCTCCCTGTGGGTCCCCAGAGCCCCAGTGCATCCGTCTGTCTGTCTGTCCGCACCCTGGGCATGTGGATCTGCACAGCCCGGCGCCTGCACCCACTGCTCACCCTCTGCCCTCGGAGCTCTGTCCTCCAAGCCCAGCCCCGGCCTCCCTGGGGGGGTGCGTCTCGCCAGCAGCTGTCGCCGCGGAGATGGGTGCCGTGCACCTGCTGTGGTCGCAGCTGCGTGGCAGGGGCCGCCGGCGGAGCCACGCTGGCCGGGCCTGTCCTCTGTTCCGCGGGGACACGGGCTGCTGCGTACGGGCCAGAGCTCGGCCTGGGTCTTTAAGAGGGAATGGCTCTCGGGCTGTAGCCAGGACCCTGGACGCGCCTGCCTTGTGCACCTGGTCCCGTCTGATGGGTTCCCAGCGACCGGGCACAAGTGCTTCTGTTCTCACCTTGCAGAATCAGATGAGGGGGCGGTGGGTGGACAGTGGCCTGGAGGCAAGGCCCAGCAGCCCCTGAGGGAGTGGGGCGGGGGGCTCCCTGCTCCAGGGGACAGTACCTTACCTGGGGGCCTGGCCAGGGCAGGGGCTGCTGGGGAATGAGCCCGGCCTTCCCCCCAGGAGCCTGCGATGGGACGGGGTCAGGAAAGGAGAGAGCAAGCCCCGTGGGAGAGAGGAGCCGAGCCCCCAGACGGGACACCCCTTGTTCCCCCTCCCCGCCAAGGGGCTCTCAACTCCCTGTCCTTCCCCTCTCCCCTCGGCCTCTCCTGCCCGTGGTGAGGACAGGGAGGGGACAGGAAGAAGAAGGCATGGACGTCAGCCCCAGCTCCTCCCGGTCCCTGCCCATCACCAGCTCCTTCCCCAAGATGGTGAGCATGGCGCCTCCTGCCCCCACCTCAGGGCCCTGCTTCCCTCTGCAGGCCTGGCGCCCGCTCCCCTCCGGGCTGCACCCCAGGCCTCTTATGTGTGTAAAGATGTTTCTGGGCCTCAGGATGTGTTTCCACCTCCGGCCTCCGCCTCCCCATTTAGCTCTTGGATGGAGGAGGCGCCCCCCCGCCCCCCTCCCCCGGGGCTGTGGGAATCGCACGAGCTGCCGGGACTCTGCCACAGCCCCTCAGCCCTGAAACC